ATTTAAATGCAGAACAAATGCGGAGGTAAGAAAGTACTGAAAGAGGATACTGCAACCAAAATAAAGCAATCTAGAACTACTTAGATGACTCAGCCAAATCTGGCGAGCTCGAGATGAAGCAGTGACATATAAGATAATAAAATGGAATCCAGGAGAAAGAAAGTGGTTTCAATACGTATTCATCTGCCCTAGACACAGTTACATCATCATTATCAACCAGCACCAAATCGAGAATATTACCAGTGGAATTCACAATAGTGTTGGACTGAAATAAATTGTGGTATATACATATATCAGATACAACCTGCAGAGCTTCAACTCCAGTTGCTGTGACAGCTGATAGAGGAATTGTTGTAGAGCACATGTCTTTTGAAAACCATTCACAGTTTAGTAAATTGAAGTCAGTAGCCAGATAATAGTGTGCAGATGGATAAACTTTATTGTTATAAGGTTTCACAAAATGATGGAATATTTCTCAAACCTAGACTTTGGTGGCAAATATGCTGTTCCTATAATAAACTGATTTGCACCTTCAGTCATTAAGACAAAAAGTTGTTTGACTGTCTGATTAACTGTTAAGCTCTTATGAACTGCAATAAGGAATCTACCACCTTTGGAGAATGAACTTGTTTCCCTGGAGCGAACAGTTTTGTATATGTTGAGGTCAAATAACTGCAGCTCTTCATTGGCATATTTACACGTCAATAAGTCTCGTTGAATATGATAATACTGTAATGAGAATAGAATACATTTACAAATAAACTGTCGAGCTTAGTTCTTAGACCTCCTACATTTTGAAAACGTGTTAGTTTTTGCCATTATTCTAGGTGTGTCATTTAAGTACTCAATAAATAAATTTTGAGGTAAGTAAAGAGGTAAGCAAAGCCAAAAATGAGATGTGGAATAAAGCCTGCGATAACGTAGAAAATTTTATGGGTACAGCAAGAAGTAAAGAAGCCTGGAAAACAATTAGAGGTAGTAGAACAGATAGAAAAGAATACAGTAGGTTAACTATAATAGCCCCAGAATTATGAGTCGAATATTATAAACAAATGCTGACAGAAGATTGAACAGAATTCCAAGATATTGGCTACCAAAAATATGATATTTCCTACCGCGAAGAAACTGAAATAACACCAGAAGAAATTTAAAAAACACGCCAACTCTATGAAAAATGGAAAGGCTCCAGGACCGGGGGAGTGCCTGTTGAACTAATTAAATATAGCCCTGACAAACTATTTCAGCTATTGGCTTATACTTTTAATTTATTCTTGAGAGGAGAAGAGCTACCCCCAGAATGGAAAACTGTATATATCAGCAATCTATACAAAAATAAAGGCGACAGAAAAGATTGTAAGAACTACCGAGGTCTAAGTGTAACTAACTCAATCTGTAGAGTCTACGGGAAGATAATTAAAAGCCGAATTGAAGATTGTTGGGAGGACGCTGAAGATCAGAGTGGCTTTCGTACTGGTCGTTCTTGTATAGACAATGTGTTCTGCCTAAAACAAACAATAGAAAAGCGTTTGGAACATAATATGGAGACACACATGGTATTTATTGATCTTCAAAAATGCGTATGACAGTGTCTCATTAGCCAAGCTATGGCAGGTGCTAGAAGACAAGAATATTCCACCGATTTACATTAATGCTGTAAGGAGTTGTACGATGATATGACGAGTGTAATAAAGATTGGACAAAAGTGACAAAAAAGATAAAAGTGACCAAAGGACTTCGCCAAGGCTGCTGCATTGCACCTACACTCTTTCAGATTTATTTGGAGGGGGTTTTGGATATTTGGAAAAGAAAATGAGAACCTATGGGTGTTAAAATTGGAGACCATACATGTACAGCTTGCATTTTGCTGATGACCAAGTAATACTTGCAGAAGATCAAGATGATATCCACTACATGTTACGAAAAATAGATGAAAAATATACTAAGTGGGGCTTATCAATTAATCCATCAAAATCAGAGTACGTAGTAGTGGGAGGTGAAGGAAAGCACTTAGAACTAGGAAGCAAACAAATTCAAAATACTGATACCTATAAATATCTCGGTGTAAACATTACAAACAATGGTCGGAATACAAAAGAAATAGCTACTAGAATTGGTCAAGGAAATTCAGCAATACGTCAACTGAATAGTGTACTTTGGAATAACCACATCACCCGAAACACAAAAATTAGGATATACAAAAGTATCATAGAAAGCATTGCTACATATGGTTCAGAGCTTTGGGTAATAAATAAAAATGACGCATCCAAAATAAAAGCAATGGAAATGAATTATTGGAGAAGATGTTGCCAACTCACTAGAAGAGATAGAGTAAGGAATACTGAAATCAGAGAGCGCATGGGCATAGACATTGACATCCTGGAAACTATAGAATGCAAAAGGCTGAAATGGTATGGCCATGTAGAAAGGATGAATGATCAACGATGGCCAAAGAGAATGTTACAGTGGATTCCCACCAACCGCAGGAAAAAGGGAAGACCAAGAAGATCGTGGAGACAAGAAGTAAAAGGTGCAATGGAAGATAGGGTCTACAAGTAGATCACTGGAACGATCGCAAGCGTTGGAAGCTAGGTTGCGAAAAACGGCGGCAGCTGTAATAAACTCGTTATATATATATATATATATATATATATATATATATATATATAAATTTTTGTTCACTTTTTCTCTCTTAAGTTCAGTCTTGATAGGGTTTAATGTACTTCTCTGCTGTGGAGGTGAGATCTGAATCGATGAAAATCTTTAATGATCTGTCAATTTGATTCTGAGTTTCTTTGTTTCTGAGTTTCTGTAGGTGTCAAATTTTATATGAAACACACTGTATTAATTTTATTGTTCCTATTTCATTGGCCATGGTTGTCGAGATATTTTATGTAAATAAATAAAAAACAAAATAAAATTCAGAACATAACATAGTTACATCTTATTCTGAAGCTATTTTCTTGTGGTCCCCAAGGGAACCCGATGGCGCGTTTTCACTGAAGCTCTATGCTCCACTTACGAGTTCAAGAAACTTATATATATATATATATATATATATATATATATATATATATATATATATATAATATATATAAACCTTCAAAAGTAATGGTACAAACAATATTAGTTAAAATCTCAAAATCCCAATTATTATTCTAAATCTCCTAATCAAAATATTTATATCTTTTCTAACTTTTCTAAAGTAATTGTAAAAATTGTGTTATCAATAAAAGAAAAACTGCAGAAAAACAAAACTATCTCTCTATGATGATGAGTGGTCCAAATCCTTGTTCCTTGTAGCCTACACTATCTATTCTTAGCAGCTCCCTAGGTAATCAGCAATCTTACAACAAATTGTTGCAAGTTTATCGTCCTTAATGATCTCCTTCAAATGCACGAATCGTTCAAATTATGCTAGCCTCTTCTCCTCTCGATAAACTGAATCTTTCGTTGGCCTGACTGAAAAATGACTCTTGGAATATCTTCTCTTTACGATAAACTGAATCTCTCGTTGGCCTGAACAGTGACTCTTGGAATATAAGTAGAACAATATGACTTACAATATTTTACTGGATCAGCTTCTGCCAGGTACACTAATTACACGAAAACTCACAAACTTTCACTGCTACTGCTTCTTACCTCTGGGAAACTACCCGAGAACAACGACTGTTCGCCTTGTACCCTTGAAAACCAACTGCCCTATTTTTTTTTTCTTTAAAAACTAACTAAAGTCTCATTCTCAAACCAACATTCCACCTTTTTTCAATCTCATCCAATCAAAACGCGTCATACATCTCCCATTTCTTCATTTCGATAATACAAACAAATTTTTACCTACAATTATAAAATTTCCGAACAGTATTTACAAACTAATCTTTTTCTACCAATTCTTATGAACTAACAAAAACATATATTTCTAAAATCTATTCTATTGTCCTAATTACTGCATAAATTTATTTGGAAAACCCGCTTCTATTGTCTTAGATTTCACTTAAGCTCCTCACGTCACTCAAATATATTTTAACAAAGAAAATAATTTATGCATATCTTACGTTTTGTTCAATATAGGTAATTTAAAAATAAAGGACTTTCATTCTTCGAAATGTTTGTCGTTTATTATTCGACTTATCTGAATTATTTTAATTTTTTGAACTTTGAAATATTTTAAGCAAACCAATATATATTATATATATATATATATATATAATATATATATATATATATATATATATATATATATATATATATATATACGTGAATAATAAGACGATAGAACGAGTTCAGAATTATAACTATTTAGAAGAAACATTAATGAAACAAACGATTGTACCAAAGAAATTAGAGTTAGATTAGAAAAGCCTAGAAGTGTATTCCATAATTTGAAAGAAATATTATGTTGTAGAGACCTCAGCCTAAATAAAAAAAAAACGAGTACTAAAGTGTTATGTATTTTCTGTTCTTAATAAACAATGTCTAAATAAATTGAAGGCATTTGAAATATTGACATATCAAAGAATGCTGAAAATCTCCTGGACAGACAGAATAACCAATGAAAAAGTACTAAGAAGAATAGAGAACTGCAGGGAGATACTGAATTCCATCAAAATAAGAAAACTACAATATCTGGGTCATATAACACGTGGTGACAGATATGAATTTCTAAATGTAATAATGCAGGGAAGGATTCAAGGAAAGCGCAGCATAGGTAGAAGAAAAATGTCTAGGAATCCTCAGTGAATGGTTTGGATGCAGCTCAACTAAACTCTTTCGGGCTGTAGTGTCAAAAGTTAGAATAGCAGTGATGATTTCCAACCTTCGTCTCGAAGATGACATAGTGTAAAGAAGAAAAAAATAAAAGCAAATAAATAAGTGGATAAAATATGAACCAGTATTCAAATCTCACATCTGCATAAATAAATTGAAAACATAATTTTAAAATGTAGAATCAATTAAACATCGCTTTTACTTTTTAAAGTTGTAAATATTTGAACTAAACTTACCGGTAGTCTTCAGTAGCACTGTTACGTCTGAAAAAGTTTAGTGATGCCGGTCACCATGAACCTCTTCTGGTCGCGAGTTGAATTCAATATTAGAAGCGACGACGCTAAACTTAAAATTACTCATATCCTTACGTCAAGGTTTCCGTATTATGTATTCTTATTTATATGATTACGGACTATTGAAATTCATGAATTCTATTAGCAAAACCGTATCTGAAATATAAATATTATTGCACGAGATACAAGACAACAAATCTTTGGTATCTTTTGAATAAATTAGAATAATTAATTTTTTTGGTTTAAGGATTGCACGTGTCGAATTTATAATTGTTCATTGAGGAACAGTATCAAATTTGTGATGAAATGAGTTTTCACTTTTATACACTGCTGGATAAAAAATTTAACACTTAAATCATTTAATATTCATTTCACCATGATGATTATTGATTGTTGCATATTATGCTGACTAACCTATTCACTAAAACACACTAACAATAACACAGTTAAAGGATGGCAAAGTAGCAGGCACTAATAATATACAAGCAAAACTACTTAAACTAATGAACAACAATATTGTTCTGAAGCTATTTTCTTGTGGCATTTTAAATTAATTACTATTTAACTGGGAATAAGCCACAATTAAAGATAAAAATACGTTTATTGACGTTTCAATTTCCACTTCGGAAAGCGTTCTCAAAATACAAATAGTAAATTAAACAAATTTTGTTTTTTGTTACATAGTGAAATATTCTTCTAATAATTTAATTTTATCTGACTCATTTATATTGACAATTCAGACATACATTATGCATTTTAAAGTAGACGACTTTAAAATGATATTGCCAATATAGTTGAGTTGCGCTCCTGGGACGACTTTACTTATAAGATAGTTCATTCCATTACATGAAATCAACTTTAACTTGAGAATATCCGTCAGAAAAAATCATAGCATGTAATTCGTCTTTAAAAAGAAAAACACATGACATGATGACAGTAAAATTCTCCTGAAAAAATTCTTCTAAAAAATTTTAACAAGTTATCAGAGAGGATTAATTGCACCTCATTACAGTAAGACTCCTCATTTTTATGGAGTACCGAAAATTCATAAAACGAATATACCACTTAGACCCATTTGTAGTACCATGAATTCTCCTTGTACTATTGAATACTCCTTGAACTATCAAAATTTTTATTAAATATTTTAAAACCATTTACAAATAAAAATGACACATTCATAAAAAATACACAACATGTTTTAAATAAATTATCAAATATTGAATTTAATTCAAATAATACTTTGGTAAGTTTTGACATAAATAGTTTATTTACGAATGTGCCATTAAATAAGACTTTATGTATAGTCAAGACAAAATTAGAGTGATGATTCATTGGCAACTAGAACCAGACTAAACATATCAGCTATAATGGAGTTATTAACATTATGTACTGATAATACATATTTTCAACTAAATAATGAATTCTATAAACAAAATTTTGGTCTAGCAATGGGCTCTAGTTTATCTCCATTCTTAGCCGATATATTTATGGATGATTTTGAAACGAATATCATTTCTAAACAAAATTTAAAACCCACAGTATGGTGGAGGTATGTAGATGATGTATTCTCAATATGGCCTCATGGATCAGAGTTGTTGGACACATTAGTAAATGATATAAACGATAAAGAAGAGACAATAACATGTACTATGGAAAAGGAATATAATAACACGCTACCTTTCCTGGATGTTTTAATCTCTAAGAACGATACTTGATATGAGACTCAGGTGTATAGAAAACCAACACACACCAATAGATATTTAAATTTCAAATCAAATCACAATATTAATGTAAAAAAGGGAATAATTAAATCCTTATACGATAGAGCCAAAATTACTTGTTCTAACGAAAATTCGTTCTTGGAGGAGAAACATTTGTTAACATCTGTTTTATTAAAAAATGATTATCCTTTATCGTTTATAAATAAGGAATTTTTAACAATCGATCGAATAGAACAGAACAACTTAGAACGAGATCCTACAGCATACACAAGGAATAATACGAGGAAAATAATAATACCGTACATAAAAGGATTATCAGAAAAACTTAAAAGGATAGGCAATAAATTCAACATTTCAACAACATGCAAAACAACAAACACGTTGAGATCTATTTTGTCCAAAACCAAACCTAACAATGAACAAGAAAGGACAAAGCATTGCATTTATAAAATACCTTCTGAATGCGATCAGTTTTATTTAGGTGAAACATCAAGGCCATTAAATGTTAGAATAAGTGAACATCAGTCTTATATAAAAAATAGAGAATTTGATAGATCTCAAATATGTAAACACGCATGGGATAATGAACATAGGGTTCAATGGAATAATTCAAATGTAGTCCTAAAAGAGACGGATGGTAAAAAAAGAAAAATCAAAGAAGCGGCTTTAATTATGCTAAATGAGGCCAATTGTGTCGCAAATTCCTCGGCAGAATGTAGTAGGATCTGGTTACCAATATTGAAAGAGGAAGTTATTAATAAGAAAATACCAGTATTAGTAAGTCAGTAACATATAGAGGATACATCATTTATGTTTTTTAAATAACGAAACATATAAAATCAGAATTTTGGTGTTTATTGAAGGTAAACTAAATGCACGAACAAATACTTACCATGTCGGGATAGTATTATGAGGTTTTTTTCCTGTAAGTAAGGTCCCTTATAAGCGAGTTTTCATCTCTCTGATCCCCAAAATTTTGAATTAATGCATTTTTTATTTCATTCCAAATTTTACATTTTTTAAAGATATTACTTTTTTTTTAATGGTTAATTTACTTATAATACCGTGAAGCTAAAATTTATTTTGTATATTAGCTGCATTAAGTCTATCATAATAATGGTTTAGAAGTATTTAAGAAATTCATGTAGTTCATTTGGATTTCCGTCAAAATTCGGAAGAATGTATAAATTTTTTACGTCAAATTGTGGAACTACCATATTTTCAAAATTATCTACATTTATAGGTGATACTCTTAATTGATTTAATTTTCATTAAATCTCTTCGCAGTTATTTAATTTTTTGTTTAAATTAGCTTCTAACTCTAACTCTAAGTCATCTAAGGACTCAGAGGAGTCTGACATAAAATCTTTTTCAAGAAGTATATATCTTCTTGATTGTAAGTAATAAAATTCGCTTGCAAGACAAAGATGATGATGCTATGCATTCCTTCGATCTTGAAGACTTCTAACTTCTAATTCTCTCGAGTGAACTCTCTGCAGGCGGTTTCCCTAAGGCTGCTTCTTGGAATAGTGGACAAACACTTAAAAGTGACGAGGATCTTTAAAGACTCTTCTACTATCCTACTGACTGCGCCAATTATAAATGTTCTTTTTAAAATTATTTTTTTAAAAAGCACAAACACTCAAAATAAACTTTTATTTATATTAGCAAAGATTTTAGTTACAATTCAAAATATATTATTCAGGCCAAAAATACAAATATACTCTCAGACTGTCAGGCTGAAAAAAAGTAGTTTTACAATGCTTTATTTATTACAAATACTCTTGCTTAATTTGCTGTTCTACTTCGTCGCAATAAATGTTCCAAGGTTCCAGAAAGTTCGGTGATAACTTCTTACTGAATTCACATAATCGAATATACTGGATTCTAGCGGTTATTGTACTATAACTCACTCGGTACAACCATAAAAAAACTAGTACCTGTAATTATTTTTTTTTTATTATAGAGATTTCCATTATTTGTAAAGTTTCGAAATGCGGGTAACTCTCTCACCAGTGTTAGCATTTAATTTAAGTACTTACAATGCGTAAGGTACTATTGTTTCTCTTTTAAAAATTCGATTAAATTTTATTCTTTTGTTTAACTAACGGTTCCATGCTTCCTAATTACTCAATACTAATGTACCAATTACTGTATTCATTAATGGAAATTATACTGTGAGCTTTATGTACAAATTACATTTTAAGGTACAAAATAGTTTAAATTGTTTCCTAAGTGGTACGCAAAGTTAAAACGTATGTAAATTTATTTTAGTAAAAGTGGCCCCAATATTCTTAAACTTATTATTGTAAATATGCGTTCAATGACCTGGTCCTATCGTCAAATTTAGTGTGCCAAATTTACGATTTGTTTAACCTATATAGAATCGGAGCAGTCTGCACAAAGAATTTCATACATTCAGTTTTGTTCATTTGGAATGTTATTTTTGATTGATCGGACAAGAGATGAAAGTTTTTATTTCTTCTTCTTCGGGTTCCTTCTCCTAGCGGAGGTTGGAAATCATCATCGCTATTTTATCTTTGTTGGCCACATTTCTGAATAATTCTAATGAGCTGCAGCCGAACCACTCTCTCAAATTTCTTAGCCAGGACATTTTGCGTCGTCCTGGGTTTCTCTTTCCTTGTATCTTCCCTTGCATAATCAACCTCAGTAATACGTACTTTTCACCCCTCATTAAATGTCCCAGATATTGAATCTTTCTAATTTTAACAGTTTTTACGACTTCACGTTCTTTGGGGGGGGGTAGGGGGGGGGGGGGGGGGGGGGGGGGGGGGGGGGTATGGGGGTGGGGGGGGGAGGGGGAGGGGGGGGGGGGGGGGTGGGGGGGGGGGGGGGGGGGGGGGGGGGGGGGGGGGGGGGGGGGGGGGGGGGGGGGGGGGGGGGGGGTTTCTTTTGTTAACACCTCTATTATTAGTTGACATTATATGTTACAATCCGAACGATATTTTTATAATATGCATTCCCCGCCTCGTTCGACTGGGTACAAGCACCGACATCTCAATATGAGTATTAATTTTTTTTTTGATAGTTCAGGACTGGCTTTGATATAGGCTGCGCGCACGGGTTGGGGGAGTTGGGAGGGCTGTTGGAATTGCCCCAATGCCGATAAGTAAAGAGAAGGGGAGCAGTGTAACGTAAACCCCTACATAGCCTACTTCCATGGTGAGGGGTGGCGACACTCAAGATTAAGCTGTTTTACGGTTATGGGCAAAGTAATTGGCTTCATTTTT